TTTGCTTTTATATAAGAGTTCGTCCAGGCTTGTCCTTTGCTACAAAAAGGATTGGGCCACCTTGCTGCACCTTGTTTACTTTTGTTACTTGTTACCCGTTACGAATTATCTTATTACCAAACTATCTGTTACCGATAATTTCAGTTCTTACAGAGAATACCTTGCTGAAAACCGCTTGTCATTTCCTTCTGCTCCTCGTTGGGTTCGACACTCTTACTTATCAAAAGGAATGTGATAGATCCCCTATACTTGTGGGTCATAAGTTGCATCCTCATGCCTTGTGAGCTTGACAGTTGGTTCTTTGGATGCAAATGGCTGGTGCAGGTACCCTGCTATGCCCCGGTCCGACTGTACATGTATTTTAGGCAGACATTTAGGACTGGCGCCATATGGCGGCGAACTACACTGGCCGGGGTACACGACATGCATAAGTGTCGCGGTGTGCCCAGAAGCGCCGAACAGCTAAGGGATCAAAGAGCTGCACATAGACGAGGTAGTCCGGCGCCTCATACATCCACCAGCGACTGATGCAACTAATCATCTGCAACATATGCTCGTTGGGGGAAAAGTTATTGTCGTATGATAACCATCCATTGTTGTTAATGTATTAGATTTGTCCAAGCAGTACAACTTGAGATAAAAGATCATTATCCTATGCCTTTTATTGATCAAGTGTTAGAGAGATTGTCTAAGCCCACACTTTTTTGTTATCTTGATGGTTGCTCTATATTTTCTCAAATGAGATGAAGAGAAAACTACTTTACTTGTCACCGGATAAATAGGGCACCGCCCACACAAAAAGTGTTGAAAATGATGATCACCCTCCCCAAGGACCTCCTAATCATTCGAAGATAACACATTAAGAGCAGTTTAACCATGTCGGCTAAGGTAACACAATACAAGACGAGTTAACGGCCCAACGCCGGCACAGAGTAACCGAGCATCCCTCAAGGGCTTCCTAACCACTAGTTACCCACCGAAAGTGGTCGGCAAGCCGGACCCAGAAAAGGGGCTTTGCACCATGGAACACGACTTGAACCACGACATGTGTCCGTGAAGCTAAGCATGGAAAAACAATAAAAAATTTCCTAGACTACGAAACAACAAAATGTCAAATAAAGTGTATCCATCAAGAAATTCAGTAAAGTCACGCTGGCTGGATGCCCGCCGGGTATGATCTTGCGTGATTCTTTTTCTGGGTAGTGGGGTTTGATGGGGGCTATTGGTCCCTCGTCTTGTTTGGATGTGGAGGGGCTTTGCATGCCCGGCCTCATGTCATTGTTTCGCTGGTGGGCTCGCGTGTTTTTTAATGTCTGGCCTGCTCGTGGAAGCCGTTGGGTCTGCCTATCCGGCTTGCTTTGGAATGGCTATGTGCGCTTCTTGGTTTGTTTCCTTGATTTTGCTCCGTTCCTTCCTACCCGGTCTCGAAGGTGTAGAGCTCTAGACGTTTGATAGGGTTGTCGTGTGCTCCGTGTGACTGTTAGCAGTTGGTCCCTGTTCAGCCTCTCATTCCTGAGCCTTCATGCCATGATATCCTACTCCGACATCGCCCATGTCCTCTGATTAGATGTGGGCTCGCTCGCGTAAGCTACCCATCTTGTCCCGAACACATTTCTTACATCGCTTTGTTGGATGTCTCCAGATGCTGTCGGACGGTCTTGGACACAGAGGAACTTGTCTTCCTCAGACACATGTCGTTGTGGGCTCTGTCCTACTAGCGATTGTGGTCCGCTTTTACCCGTTGGTCTTGATCGGATGTGGAGGGTCTTTGCATGCTTGTCTTTTCGTTGTTGTGCGGCATGGCTAGTTGACGTGCCTTGGTGTTGGCGTGTGGGGTTGTTTGGTTGGCTTTTGTTTGGAGATGTCTATTTACCCTTTCCTTAGGGCAATCCTCTATGATGTCTAGTCAAGCGGCGGGGTTGTTTCTCTATCTTCGGCCTGCCTTCCTCCTGCCTATCTGGCTGATGGTCGCCTGGGGTTGTGCTGTTTCGGGGGACATAGCTTAGTGTAGTGGAGAACCAAAAAATTTGGCTGATCCAAAAAAAACTCGAGTAACAGATGAAACATAATTTGGAAAGAATATAACATTTATAGCAGGTGCCTAGCACGTGTAGTTTGGTCATGTTAGCCGGATGCCCGCTGGTGATATTGCACGTGATTTTTCTCTAGGCAAAGAGGTTCCCGAATATTGCCATTTGAGGCTTCATTGGCAGGCGCATTGGGTCCCATCGTTTGTCATGCCCTGGTCAACCCTTGGTGTTTCAACAAGTTTCAATCATCCTTTGACAATGGTCGATTTCACTTGACGAAACATGTTGTAATCCTCAAAACTATGCTTGAATGAAAGATGCAACTTACAATACGTTCGTCCTTGGATTGATGGCTTGACATGGTGATTAATAATTCTAATATAATTATCTCTGACAAAAAATGAAATATTTGATCACCCATGCATGAGTTGAAGGTATACTTCTCATGTTCTAGTTGATCTTCTTGTGAGAATGGCTTTGAAAGAAAGCGATCAGATGGTTCAAATTTAACACACCACATTCGGCTATGCATTATGTTTTACACTTTCTATCTGATATCTTTAGATAAGATATTATGCTAGCATCGGTTTTCTCAATATAATTTAACCTTGGCTTTAGATTTCTGAAATCAAAAGAGTTATAATATATATGTCTCATTTGAGACCAAATGTAAGCCAAGTATGAAACAAGCAAAGCAATCCAGTTAGATATAAACTTTAAGTAAAACAATGGGGAATGTTTTGCCGCAATAATAAGTCACTATCGGTCTCTCTGAATGATACAAAGTGTTGGCCGATATGCTTTGCAATAATTTTATTGCTAACAAATAATTTCCCCTTCTTCATTGGTCTTTTAAAATCACTTATATGAATGTTTCTAACATGTGCATCAACAATAAAGTTATGATCAAATATCAAAATAGGTAAATCATTTGCTAGACATACCTCTTTAAATATGTTGGGAGAGCACAATAGTTGTGTAACTTGAAAGATTATCTTTCGGATGGCTTCCCAATGCCTTGTAGCCCTCTTTTTCTTTAGTAAACTCGGTACATGCATTATTTGATTCAGCTTTTTCAATAACCGAAATATCTTCAATAACCGAATCACACATTTTTCTTTGCTACTTCGCAAGGTTTCTTATTCTTGTCTAATTTCAGCCCATATCGTAGCCTGGCGAGCTTTCAACTTTTTTCCTTCCAATTTTAGCCCAATCCCCCCCACCCCCAATGTTTTGAGACACTTTTGATAATGAGTGTCCGAAACTTTGCAATTGTTTAGCGGGTGTACTGGATGATACAATATTAGTGAAGTCATCATTTGCACAACTCTAGCATTTACAACAGCAAAACCATGTTTCCGTCCACCTTCTTTTAGTTCTTGGCGAATAGTGTTGCACAAATCCCAAGAGAATGTGAGATTGTTCTCAATAACCCGGTTTGGATAGGATTGCCATCAATGATTTAGACTCTTTCGACAAGGAGATGTTGTCGAAATTCTGTAATTGTGTAGGGACAACAAAAACTTCTGTAATTCTGTAATTTTGTAATTGTGCTTCTATAGATTTTTTTTTCACTTTTTCGCCTATGCATGCGAAGGTGCAGAGCCGAATTACAAGTATGTGCAATTGCGTATGGCGTCGAATAGTTAGTAGCTTGAAGCATAACATGTGATTGCGAGTTGCTGGACGAACAACTAGTAGTAGCATGACCAATTTCCCTATCCACTAGCACGTTTGGATTAACATATTATAAATTAGTTGCCCATGAATAAAAGGGTGGAACACTTTTCTATGAGACATTGGAAATTCTAACATTGTGTGTTTTGAATTTATTAGCTGAACTCATCATGTTGTTCACCATCATATGGATTTGCAGGGTTGCCGATGCATGAGGGTTGGGACACATATGTTGCATGTTGTTAAAATTATAAAAAGTTGAAGCATGGAGATTATTTTGCATCAACTCTTGTATGTAATTAGATGTATGATTGAAAAAACTAGGGCTATCGGATACATTATTTTCATGAAACAATTATCCCCAGCTGAGTCATCAAAAGTGTGTTTGCACACGAACACATCATCATATACCTTTGGGAGTCGATCGTGATACACAAGACAAGTCGCCGGAGGAGCCTCCTCGGGAGCGATATACGCAAGACACGTCGGCGAGGTCTTTTGCGGACCCTAAACCCTACACGCCCGGGAGGGACCCTATCAGAGCACACGTCAGCTATGAGCTGCCCTAAGTCGACCTGATCACCCCTAGGGCCTCATGGATTGTTGCCCTCCAACACAAAAAATGAGTAATAAGACGATAAACAAGATAGTAAGAAGAAGGACAAGGGAGAAGAACGAGAAAGAAAAAAGAACAATTAGGACCTTCAATGATGTCGAAAACTTTAATGCTGGTCACTTTTGAGCCCGTTTTAAGGTATAATCACTCACACCCAAGGTTGTTAATGACTTTACGATACAGTCTAACTTTTTTGATTCGACGATTTTGGTTCGTACAATCTACGTTTCTATGATACTGATAGTTAAAATTCTACTATGACCATCTCACGCCTTACCTTAGACATTAAATTAGCCTTACTATAAGCTGGAGTATATAACTGCAGGAGGACGGGGGGATGTCTGAAGGTGGATCTTTATCCTAATCTATACGCAGGCGACGAGACATCCGTCTATCAGAGATGCTCTAATGTTTCGGTAGTGTAGTATACCACCCCTCTGAACCGGAGCCTCTTTCATCCTCCTTCCCATTCGCTTCCCTTCATCCTCCTTCCACCTCGCTTCCGCGCGACGCCACCACGCAGCATTTTCCGCTGCTGCCACTAAAATGAAGTAAAATGATCGTCGTTATTAGTTATTACTCCACAACCTCCTATAGTGAGCGGAAGGGACCAAGCAGCGAGAGCTGAAGGGATTTTGGGGATTGGCCTAGGGTTTTAGGGTGGCCGACGCGACGGCATGGCCTACCACCACCTCCTCGTCGTCTCGCCGCCGGCGCAGCCGCCGCCGCCGCCGCGGCGCCTCTCACTACTCTCCCGCTCGCCGCGGGGGGCCGTCACAGCCGCTGCCTCGCCCGACGCCGCCCGCTCCTCGTCGGTGGTGGCATCGTCGGCGGCCACGCGAAGGAGGGCCGTGCTCCTGGTCGGGATCTCCGTGCTCCCGCTCCTGCGCCTCCGTGACGCGGCGACCTCCGCAGCGCAGCCCTCAGCGGTCGATCTCGTCACTGGTGAGTAGGGCTCTGCTCAGCGTGGGGATGATCTATGAGATTCTTAGTTTGAAATCTGACGCGGATCTCCTAAAAAATACTGATGCAAATGTTTCTTGAACACATAACCCTGGAGGTTGGAACCTTCACGGATCCTTGGAGATTTTCTGAAACTTTAGTCCGAAGCCTGCAAATGGCTAGCTGGCTAGGCTAATCATCGCCCTGAGGAAGTCAAAACCTTGTATGCCAATGGCCACTCTGCATGTTCTAAACCATCCCTGTTACGAAATAGTTTGGCCAAATCACTCGGCGGTGATAGTGCTGACTTACACTCATGAGAGTGTTTTTCTTATGTTCAGTTTTGTTAAATGTTATTTGTGCAACATTGAATGCGGTATGCTGCTTCCACAATAAAATGTATGCTCTGCTATCCATTTCATGTCAAATACTCCCTCCGCCCAGAATTATTTTAGTTCTGTGACAAGTAATTCTGGACGGAGGGAGTAGTAGTTTTGGAAAATGCCAATTGAATTGGCATGAACTAAGCATTTCTGCATCAGAAAGAGCATTTGTCCTTGTTCTAACTAGCTGATACCCGCGCGGCGTGCCTTCGTTAGTAGGACCGTGTGTTGTTTTCCGTATAATTTGTGAACTTTTACATGTTTATTTATCTTTTGTTTGATTTATCCTTTTCTTTGTTTCTATTGATATGTTGTTTACTTCCTTTTTTAGGGGGGATTTTGTTTACTAGTTGTATGAATTGTGGGAAATAGTATTGTATCAAGTTTATTGCTTTCTCCAAATTACACTGTCCACAGAGAAGAGAAAAACAAAATCACACCCACCTGAATGATACCTATGCTCAGCAGTGATTCGAGGCAGAGCATCCAAAAGTCAAAGCGACAAAAATGTAGACATCAACAAGGGGTAAAATAAGACTTGCAGATCCAGTAAATATTAATTCCAAATGTATTGATGTTCAGCCTATCCAAGCAAAGTCATGATGCTCATATGTGTGTGTAGTGCACAATACATGTTTCAGAATGGAAGGATTTCCCTGTCTAGCCAGTGAACACCGAGGACTTAACCCAACATTTACACTATTTGTTATGGCATCAATGGCAGGCAAAATCTCACTACAGCAACAGAAAGAAATTAGATTTGGTGAGGTCTTAATAGAAGTGGTTATGCATTTTAAACAGAGAGGAACTGTTATTACGACATGAAGGTCTAAATCTGTATACCTGACATGGATAGTTAGGACTTCTTTTTATTGCAAGCACAACCACAATAGCAAGCTCCTTATCCTGCAATCTCATAACATTTACTGTGACACAAAAAAGGTTCAAAGTTGCAATAGAAGGCCAAAAGGAAACATCGAAATAGGAAGCCTCACAAAATATGATGTATAAGGTAATGTGTACTGCTTGCATTAGCTATGTGCCTGTGGCATTCCTGTAGATGTAATAGGTGTAGTTATTACATTGCAAAATGGTCAAATTATCAAAATAATTATTTGAAATGTAGGTCAAGCTGCTGCCTTGTGACCATGAGGTCATGGGTTCAAGTCCTGGAAACAGCCTCTTACAGAAATGTAGGGAAAGGTTGCGTACTATAGACCCAAAGTGGTCGGACCCTTCCCTGGACCCTGCGCAAGCGGGAGCTACATGCACCAGGTTGCCCTTTTTTTTATCAAAATAATTATTTGAACCTATACACAGCAAAATAAGTGGTGAATATGTTAATCCACTTGTACACATTAGTAGCTAGTGTATGACACAAGACCAAGCTGATCCTACTTCAGTAGCTAGTGTATGATACAAAGTCAACCATGGTACTACAAAGCTAAACCTACAGAAGCTTTTTAGCGATGCATAACCTGAATACTAATATCAACATTATGCTCACTTCATTAGCTGTAGCTTGATGTCTCAGGCTCATCTTCAGCGAAGATAATGTCCATATGTTAGTGTATACATCAATTTAATTATGAATACAGTTTGATTATCCATGGCCAATCTAAATTTATGCTGCAACCTAAATTTATGCAGCAAGCCTTTTGATTTTTACACCAAGAGTTCATTATACCGGAAGATCTGAACTCATATATGACAATTTCAAATTCATTACCCAGGGCCAATCTGGATTGTATGCGTTGCAAAACAACACCCCATGTCTTCAGACTACACATTACACCCGAACCTTCAATGAGTTCACATCAACTGACAATCAAATGCAAAAAAATTTGGAAGCAAAAATACATCATATGTAGCAATAGCAACAGGCAAATGTATAAAATTCTCACAGGATAGGAAAAAAAGGGGAATGGCACCAGGGCAGGAGGAGTCGGGCTTCAGTACCAGCGTCGTTGCCGGCGGCATACTGGAAGACCCTGATCTGGGAAGCTACTGATCTGGGAAGCTACACGCAGCAGGACAACTGGAGTAGGAGCATCGTGCATACTGGGCTCTCTTAAAAACGAAGAAGGCCAGACCGGGGCAGAGAGGCGGCTAGAGGAGGGCGGAGGCCATCAGGGGCCGGCATGGGTAGGGATGGGTCGAGGCACCAAGGGAGGAGGCCTTGTGGAAGTCTGTATACGGCTACATCCACAGTTCAGGTGTTCTTGTGGAAAGGACGACGTTGCGGAGGAGCCGCGCAGGTCAGGGAGTGGGAACCGGAGGCCGCGGCCGGCCAGCGAGCATAAGCAGAACCCCAGGCGCTCCTCTGGTAGGGCTACGGGTGCAGCGCCTGCGCCGGCCACGACGGAGGTCTGCTGACAGGCGCTGCCGTCTGTGGGGCCTCTCGCTCGCTTCCTTCTTTCTCTTCACTTTCGACCGACCGAGAGAGGGAGAGAGAGAGAGCTATCAGGAAGGGAGAGCCTGATCGAGAGATTCACGGCGCGAAAGAAAATTGAGAGGCAGTCGTCGGCATCACAGGACCACCTCTGCTCTTCCCCGTCTCTTTCTCACCTCCACGACTTCTCCTTTTCCTCGTCTCCGGCTCGGGCCACTGCTTGCTGTCTCCCATACCGCCGTTCACCACCGATGTCGGCGCCTGGTACACAGCAGGGATGGGATGTTTGCCGTTGCCATCCATGTGGGCAAGAGCAGCGGAGTAGGCAGATGGGGAGGTGCGGTAGTGGCGGCTCGCCCCAGCCGTCAACATTGAGCAGGAGAAGAGGTCAGCCAACCCCACTTGAGGCATCCGTGCGCAGGATGCCATCCACAATGCTGCGGAGATGGACATGGGGGCGGAAGTGGGGTGGCGGTGGTTTAGCTGGGAAGAAGCGGGTGCCGCGGTTGGGGAGGAACGGGGCAATGGTGGAGCCATTTTATAAGCTCGTATAGCGGTGGGGCGGCGTGGATATGCCCGGAGTCTTCGAGAGAGAACCGGACACGTGAAGAGAATCGAGAGGAGGTTAGAAACCGACCAAAGTATCTGCATCAAGTGAAGCGGAGGACGTGTGTCCAAAGTCATGGTTGGCAGCAAGATGCACACACAGGTTGTACCCCTCCTGGTCCCCAGAATTACACGTGTTCTCTCTTAATTCAGCCAGAGGCCAAAAAAAACTCCCAAAAACGGAGAAAAAAGGATTCATACGGGTGATTGAGAATTACCTTATATGGGAATGGGTATGGGACATTTAATTAAGCAGGTTGATCTGTGCTTTCATGCATTCACTTATGGGACGGTGTATCTGTAAAGCTAGGGAGAAAAATAGCCTTATTAAGTCCTAGTTTGATGTGATGAGTGCACAAGACCAGGAGTTACTCAAGCCTCTGGGAATGTGTTATTACGTCCTGCGTTCTGGTGTGAGGTACATTGACTAAAAAAACAAAGGCATGCCTATTTGTGTTTTATTGATGATGCCACTTTTGAATTGATTAATGATATGATTGTTTCACATGTTTTAGTGTGGTCACGTCTCTTTGGGAGAGCATTTAATTTTTTCAAGGTTATAAAGTAGCATGGCATTGGCCATTTGAGAAGCAGAGCAACAAAAGCCAAGTTTGTCCATATGTACCCACTCTTTTTCACGCCAATATGATTTGCCCATTATTAGTCAGTTTCCTTATGTTATACTACCTGACCATGAGTTGATAAGCCTGATAAATTTATGGCATTGTTCTTACAGATAAAATGGACATTCAGATGTCTGAGGAAATGCAGCCTGAAGAAACTAGGGCTGGACCACCTCAGCCTGAGGTGAAAAGGCCATCTCCAGGGAATCCACTTGCTAGTCTTCTGAATACAATTGCAGTTATTGCTTCTGGGCTTCTGGCTGGGCTTCTTGGTACTACTCAACGTGAAAAGAAGGCCTTGCAGTCAGCCATCTCATCTGTATGCCATCTACAAACCTTTGGTCACCATCTCATCCGCATCGGCACCATCCTAATTTCAAATACACGTAAATAGAAAATGTTAACTAACCTGTTAGCTCGAATATCAGTACGCTACATACCCAATTGAATGCTTCTGCTGCTGCTGCAAAGTAGCGCAGTAGCACACATCACTTTAATGGCAAATTTGGTGTCTATCCTGCATTCATGGTATTCAGTTTCATTTAGCACTTGACATGTAAGTCCTGATGCATGCTTAAATGTCAGACATGACCTACAGTTAATCATCCTTTCTTAATTATTTTGCTCAGGATCTGTTGTCCGATAAATGTTTCAAATATATCTGTTGTACCTTTTTTGTGTGTGCCTGAATTTGATTCAGCATCTATGGTATGCATGCCTTGATAAGCTTCATCATCTTGAGACTCATTCCAGGTGGCCTTCTGTATTGTTTAAGGCTTTCAGTAATTGTTTAGAAATCCCAGCAAATGAAATATATACTATATGTTTACTTTGCTGATGTTCTATTCTTTGCCATGGGCCTTAATACTATGACATACTACTTTCACAGGGATGTTTCTGAATGCATATTTTCCTGCCCCTTTGTCTTGGTTGTTAACATGACCTGGATATATTTGATAAACCAAGATGAGTTGCTTTAGATATACTAGAATGGCTTTCACAGTGCAGAGATTATGTGTCAAAAACTTTCTTGAAATTCTATGTCTACGTACATTGAATTCGTAAAGGACTATGAACTAACATATCTGATGTTCTATTTCCCCAGATGGAGATCAAATTGGCTGAAGATGAGGCAGCGATGTCTTTGCTTAGAGAGAACTATGAGAAAAGGCTATTGGACGAACAAGTGGCACAGAAGAAACAAGCTAGGATGTTCCAGGACGAGGAAGCTTCTCTTGATCGATTGGCCTCAACTAAGAGAACTGTAAAAAATTTAAATGAGGAAGTTATGAAGGAGAAGGAGCTAGTTGAACAGCTTAAACATGAAATACATGATCTTGAGATTAGCATTGCACAAGCAGAGGAAGACAAACATGCGTTTGAAGAAAATTTGAGGGACAAGTTGGAAACACTTGATATTTTACATGGCAAGGTAAATCTGCTTAGCCAAGATGTAAATGACAAGGAGGAAAACATTACAGAACTCAGTTCATCACTTTCAACCAAGGAAGGAGACTACCAGAGCCTGCACTTGATGTTTAATCAGACTAAAGAGAGCCTGGAACATGCAAATTCTAGAATGGAGCAACTGGAGAAGTATGTTTATGCAGCTAAAAATGATATAAAATCAAAGATATCCTCAATTGATTCATTGAATGAGGATGTCCAAACATTGTGCAGTGCAAAGAGTGATGCCGAGGAAAAAATAAGCGAGTTAATGAAACAGTACACGGAATTGGAAACTGCTTCTAAGATGAGGGCCTCTCGCGATTCTGAACTATTGTCCAATAAAGATGGTCAGCTCAATCAACTCGAAGAACGACTTTCTACTGCATTAAGTGACTCTAGTGAAGACAGAAGTATAATTGCCGAGTTAAACAGTGAATTGGAAGCTAACAGAACAATGCTACTCAATGAAGTTGAGACCCGGAAAAAAATGTCGGATCTTGTTCAGTCCACTGAAGATGCACTTAAAGAATCCAGAAATGAGTTGTTCAAACTGTCCGAAGAGCTTAATGCAGTAAATATATCAAACCATGACTTGACAACCCAGATTTCAGAATTCACAAATGAGTCTAATGAAGTGAAACAGGCTCTGACTAAGAAAGTAGAAGAAGCGGAATCAGTTTCTAAAGCTCTTTCAGATGAATTGGCCTCAGTGAAGGAGATACATCAAAAGACACAAGAAGATCTTGAAGTCACCTCTAATCAATTGGTGTCTATTACAGAAGTGCATGATGAACTTAGTAAAGAATTGCTGGATACATATAAAAAGTTAGAGTCCACAACAGATGAGCTTGTTAGAGAACGAAGGATTAATGCTACTTTAAAGAGGGAGCTTGAGGCATTGGTGAAACAATCACAGGTGGAATCTGAAGCTAGAAGAGCTCTTCAAGCAGACTTGGATGAGGCCACTCTTTCACTAAACGAGGTGAATGAGAGTACATTATTTCTGTCTAATAAGCTTGATAGCACTGTTTCCAGGATTTCTGCTATTAAAGAAGAGAAAGAGGTTCTTTCAGCGGCTCTTTCGGAGCAAAAGAAAAGTACAGCCGAAGCTCAGAAAAATATGGTGGATGCTCAGCATCTTATTAAAAGGCTTGGGATGGAGAGAGAGAATAGTGAAATCAGGAGTACAAAGCTTGAAGAGGAATTGGCCACAGCAAAAGGTGAGATGTTATATCTGAGGAGGCAGATTACTGCAAGTGGGTCACAGAATACAGATGTTTTGGAAGCAAGCCCAACACCAAATTTCAACCAGTCTCCGGAAGATCATGTTCCAAATACCAGTAGTACTGATGCTGTACCTCCTCGTTCTGCTAAGAAGATTTATAGGAGAAGAAAAGACAGACCATCAACATGAGCATTACCAGAACATGTGATCTAGGACCATCTATCTTTCATTTGCTCTCATTTTAGCACTTTATGAGAAATGTTCTTATTTAACTTCCAACATTTGAAAGCTAGCATGTTAGACTACCCTATAGTAGCTCCAACTCTTTTTGTTGAAGCTCTAAAAGAAGACCCTTCTGGTTTCCATGATCCATATGCTAGATTGTGAGGGAATTGCAAATGTATGTTAATCTGTGTGCAGATGTGTTGTTGTTGTCTCGAGTGCTTCATGAATTATAATATGGTGACTCTTGCTATCTTCTTACTAAAACACTTCAAACCGCACATGCAATCTGCTTATCCATCATTACGTTAATTACATAGGCATGCTTCTATTCTGGTACTGTTTACTTGTCTGTCTCATGTTCTGCATTTTTATAATGAACCTACATTCTCCTGATTCATTTAACTCGAGCGCGAATTATGAGATGCCGGGAGGAAGTTTATTAATGCCTTGACATCTTGTCCTTTCACCTCCCATTCCTCCCAAACATATGGTGCTGCAAAAACTTGGTCTTGTGCTGCTTATATATGAAAACCATGCTGACTATTTTCAATTTTTCATGCTGGGTCTTAGCATACTGTTCTCTCTGTTTTATTGCATGCCCTATTGTTATATACTTAGTGATCTAAACGCTCTTATATTTCTTTACAGAGGGAGTATTTATCTGTATCTTGCCAGAATCTGGTCTTAAATACCAGAATAGTTGGTGTCGATTATCCTTGACCGAATTAGGTATGTGTTTCTAAATTGTTAATGTCCCACTGTCCTTTTCCCTGATTACATGTTGTCATTTGTCAGGAATTTGCTACTTTGGTTCACAAGACT